TACATCTAAATCAGTGAAAAGTTCAAAGTGCAACGCACTGAACGAACTGCACGAGATAGTACTTATTTTCCACAAGTAGCCATCTAACACGCTTAGGAATTAGTTATAAAATTGATTAAATATAAGATGTAAGATGTATGAGCGTTAATTATTTGCAAGGTTTGATGGTATTTCTGACAATGGAGGGATATTAACCGCGATATAGACGGAGCGGCTCACGAAGCTGCCGACCTGCTCGAACGTCGCTGCGCGAGTGATAGCGTGACGACCTTGTGTATACAATGGCTTGGCGTACGTTACGAAAAACAAGGCCGCACGTGCACCAGCGCGATTGTTGACACGTTAAAAATGTTTAACGGTTTTATATAATTTATTCACGCTGAATGGCTTTTCAGTTACCCGTGTAAAAATAATGTAAGAGAACTCGAAAATCTCGCGACACTTTATTCCGCGGCACAATGTGCTGTTAACAGAGTCGAATTAATTAAAATTAACACGATAATCCGTCCGAAAATGTACAATTGAAACTCAGCATTGCACGTGCGTTTCAAACGAGCGTAGATGCCGCGAAATACGCCACGTATTATTAATAAACAGCCAGCTTTTTCGCGAGTGTTTGAATCTCGCGATCCAGCGATTGATCGTGTATTATTCCGCGCTCGCAACCTGAAAATTACATTAGTTACATACGAGCCAATAAAATGTTTAAAACGCAATGAGATTTTGTGATTAGATTGGAATTCATCCCGTATTCTAATAAATAAGTCACGCCGCTTTGATAATTATGATCTCGATTACGCAATTAATTATTATTATCGCGGATATCAATTAATTTGTACGAATTGGTAATCGTTAAATATTTATAAGTAACGATCGCGTTTGGTGTTTCATACTGCTTGCCACGATCGCGAAGGATAATGTGACGACACGCGGAACTACCTGCTTGCCTGAATATTTCCGTACGAATGTGCAACGATCTTGCGCATGTACCTAATGTAGTACACTGAAAGTCGTTTAAATCAAGGCCGCGTGTCGATTGTTATCGTCCCGCGAAATATTTGATATTTTTTAAGATAAATACATACTGAATTTTCGTCGACTTAAATGTTTTTATTGTCTTAATTTACTTATTATTGTCAGAGTAATGGTGCGTGTCCACTTGCGAGTAAGAACTCTCGAGAGCAAAAAGAGAGAAAGAGAGAGAGAGACTCTCGAGAGTATCTCTTTCTCTCTCTCTCTTTCTTTTTGCTCTCGAGAGTTCTTACTCGCAGGTGGAGACGCACCATAGAGTGGAGCGATACACAAATATCTATATTATTCTCGATATTATTGGAGCAAGTAATTTTAGAAACAAAATATATATGGGTTTGGATGTATACCGTATACGATATTTTTATATTTAATTATATATTTTATACATACATATAATAGATATATAATGAATATATTCTCTGTATTATATGTAGATATATTACTTACGTTTTATTATATATTTTGTATATATATTCTGTTTCTTGCATTCAAAATTAATTATTACCAAATGATAAATTATCACGCTTTGCCATTAGAATCAATCGATTCGGCAATTCTGTGTGTTATTTTATACTCTCAATCCAAAAATAATACAAATTACATTTAAGTAATAGTGCGACACAATCATTAAAGAAATAGTATCGCCCTTAACGGAAGGATAACTTATAATTGCAATTCTTTATTATTTTGATTTCTACTACAAGTAATTCGCACGATTGTTAACATACCATATTATTTCGTAATTAAGCTTTGCTTTAATATGTTTACGAATATTGTTAATTGTACAATATAAAATTGCTAAACGATTACAAGATACGATCATATTTCAAAAATAAAAAAATAACGCGATGACGTACGGGGCAGATTTTTGTAACGAATGGTATCGAGGTAGCGCATTTAAGTATAGATACTTGTATAATCCAGGATGTGCGATAATCTGCATCTAATTTCCCTGATTATGTTTAATTGGATTCAAGGATGTACAATTACGTAAAGCTATACTCTCCGTCATGGAAGGAGAAAATCTATAGCTGTGTATTGATTATGCTGGAGCAGAGCAATCCTTCATTCCCTCGTCGCTACCTTGGGGCCGAGTTTCCGGGTTGTTATCGTACATTGTCGGGAGAATGTAGTAGCCCACTGTTCATAATCCCGCAGGACAACGAGAGATTCGTGAAGCTACGGGTGAAATACTTCACGACGGATTAATATCGATTGCGTCTTTTGACTTTTTTTCCGGGCAAACTTAGTCATAGCTATTCGTAGAAATATCACTGCATAATAGACAGCCTAGTTGAATCTGACTGAAAAAAAAAAACGGGAACAATGTGCGCTTTATATTAACTAAAAATAGAAGCTGAATCAATTTATAGTTGATCTGGTTGCAAACGATATGTATATATCTTGATACTTGCCGCTTATAAATTGATTTAATAGTGGCATTTTTGTCGTATCCCGTTCCCTTTTTTTAAATAAACGCTTGCAGTTTGCACATCTACATAACATTTTATAGTTAAGGAAGACAAAAATGCCTCACTGGTTTTGATATTAATGTCCGTAATTATTATTAAAGAGGACATTTCTATTTTATACATTACGCCTAATAAAATTTTCTACATATTATTGTTAAAGTATATTTCTGGCGAAAATATCGAATTTAATATTATACATTTTCTATTATTAATTATCATAGGAAATATCTACTTATATTTTTTATTAATATTTAAATATTGCACGTTATGTTGGCAACATGTATGTATATATTACAGCTGAAGAAAAGTAGATATTACGATAATATCGAGAGAATTTTAACCGAGACGACAGAAGAAATTGTGTTTTGACTAAAGCTATCTGAATTTGCATAAGAATATCCTGTTGCTGCACCTTTTGGGTTGTAGTTGGCCTAATTATCATAATTTATCACATCGTTCGATATCCCCGAAAAATACAAATGTAGAAATTTTAAAAAATTTTTACAATTTTAAATAATTTTTTTATTTTTGGCACGTTATGATTTTTCTTTAATTTTATTGTTCTGTATAAATAAGATCTAGACTAAATAAACGAATGAAGAATCTTGCTTTAATAAGTGTGGATAGCGCGTAAATACGAACGAACTCAATTCACATGCACCGATAAACATATTGTCATATTCCATCCTTTTTACATCGATGGAACAATGCTCACTATAAATAATATAATCGTTTGTTCTTCTTAACTTGGTTTGGATCTGCCTTTTAATATATAATAAACATATGAATTTAAAATATTAACATTGCAATCTTGACGTACAACTGTTAGTAGCAATTACAATAAACGAATAAACTCAATAAAGTTCACACACACATATTATACAATAATAACGAATAATTCTAGAAATTTTAAAGCGATCAGATAACCTTTTGTGCTACGTACATCTGAATTATTATTATTATTATTATTAATGCTCCTTTACCTCACGCGGGTATCAAAGCGATCGAATTGCTCGCTTGGGAGGAAAAAGAGCGTTCTGTCGTACATAATCTGAGTGGACGGGGAAGAATTCCAAAGAAGCGTTTTGCATCGGGCTAACAGCGGTGATCCCAGCGTGAGCTTTCGCACATCTCCGCACCCCTTAGCTTTCAATGGTCGTAAAGGTCGTAAGGCACACGCGATATACAGGTATCGGAGCGCTTAACTTCGCTCGTTCTTCCGCGAGTTTTCTTATCAGATGCCCAGTCACATCGTGCAAATCCATCGTGATGCCATCTCGATAAGGGCTTATTCGTAGAAAATAACTACATGGCGGAGTATCCAATTATACACGCACTGTGTCGTGGCTTCTCTTTGGTCGGTCGGCTCGGTATCGCTCGGTGCGTGTCGCCGCAAGGAATCGCCGTGTCGATAGCTCGAAACGCAATTCGTTTTCATTAACCACTCAGCAAAAAGTTTACGATGGCGAGGCAGCACGAGAGAAAGGTAATGATTTATCGTGTATCCCCCATCGATACAGCGACCGACGCAGTTTGAAAGAAACGCGATATTGTGCCACTGACGTTGATCCAATAGAGTTCGTTGAATCGGTTTGATTGATTTAAAGTTGTTTGAAGCGAGTACGGACATTTTTCAACGAACAATTTCGACAATACGCGTGGCGCGAGCACAATTTGTTGAACAATTTACGTCCGAAATAAAAGTGATTTGTCGAAAGAAAGTGTTATTTTAATTCCGAGAGAACCGCAAATGCGACGAGCGATCACGACGCTAGTACCGAATTTTGATAATTCCGCGACGCTGCGATGGGAGAGAATCTTCGCAACGGAATTTAACGAAACGACAACTGCGTCGCATCCTCGTGCCTACCTAAGTCGGTGCGACGGTAATGAATCGGAGTGACTTAATTAAAGGATGTTTTCACGGGGAAAAAAAAAGAGAACGTCCCGACGAATCGAGAAACTCGAGCGTGCTGCCCGTTTAAATTAAGGACGGAAAAGGAAAAAGGAAAAGAAATAAGAGAGGAAGTAAGAGCGAATACTTCGAGATAATGGAAAGGTTGCGTCTCTCTGCAGATATATTTTACAGCATAGCGACGTATTTTGGAAATATTTCTGAGAATATTACTCGCAGTAGATACTTCACCTAATTTATGTAATTACATTTTTACCCTCTTCAGAGTGAAAATAATCTTAAAAAGATATTAAAAGGATGGAAAAAAATGCGGGGTTATATCGTTAAAGCATACTGTTCGTGCACATATATCAATCATATATGGCAAATGTATTTATCACGCTCGTGTAGAAGGTAGTACACAGAAGATAGTACCTAGCTTTCTTGCCCGATATTATCGCGCGTATCTCTGACAAGGTAAAGCCATCTTGAAAGCGGAAACACCATTATGACTAATGTACTTACCTTTTGACTTCTCGTGTTCTCGTTCTGTATATCGGGTTGTGGTGTGTGGCAAAAAAATCTACAAGCCGGACCAGAAATCAAAGCGTTGAATATTTATTGAAAACGAATCGCTATGTACAAACGTATTAAATACAGATGCGTGACATTTATACAGGATCGCAAGGGAGGAAGGAGACAGCCGGGGAAGGGTACGTCTGATCGCGTACAGTAGTCAATATGTCCGCCGATAACAATAGATAACTGGCTTTATACTAGTGACCCGCCGTGCGCAGTTTGCTTATTTACAACCCATTTCGCCGTTTATATTTGCACGCAGAGATTGGCGTGTGCCGTTTCGCCGTGCATGTCTAGCAGCTTGGAACGACGATATTTATTTGTCTAAAGGCTGTCGTGGGCGTGCGCGCGCGCGCGCAAGAGAGAGAGAGAGAGAGAGAGAGAGAGAGAGAGAGGGAGAGGAAGAGAGGGAGAGACAGAGTGAACGCACGGTTTTTACTTAAATTACTACAGACAACAATAATATGATAGACGAATGCGAACTGGAGATATATGTCGGGTTCTCTACACGAAATCAATAAAAGCATCTCTTTATATATATCGCAATGTTTATATCGTCTCAAATAACTTGAGATTTTGAGAAATCAGAAGCCAGCTCACGCTTACGCGAATATTTTGAAAATAAAATCGTAGAAACTTGTGAAACATTAAATTCACAAATTATCGATTACTTTTCTATATTATTAAATTTTACGCGATACACAGATGTAATACAGATTTTCTTTTGTTATACAGAATATTTTTAACAAAGAATCAATTATCAAATGTTCTCATACATATTTCACTCACGCGAGTATGTCAGTGTGGCTACCTGGAAATCAAAGAATTCCCAAATTGGCATGCGATGCATCCGAACAACAGCGATGTTATACGCGAAATGCAGGAATTTAATTCGATTTGTGTTCCGAACACTGCTGTTCCATCTCGTTCGATTCTATCGTATGTATTTTAAGCAAAAGATCGTGTCTCTCTCTCCGGCCGATACCTCCTCGATCGCATTGAGAAACGAGCGCGAAGAATGAATAGTGAGGGATGAGGCGAACGAGTGGGGAAAAGGGTGGGGAAAAAAGCGATGGCCGTGTGTTTCGTAACGAAGGCAGCAGATATTAAATTCCATCGGCAAACGCGGAATCCGCGTGTACTCGGGGAGCGTCCGAGTTTCGACTTTTGTTTGCGTCTAACGGCGAGAGGCGAGTGCGCGATCGGGCCGCTGCCATTGGCTGCGTACGCATGAAAAATAGAGCTCGTTTGAGCTGGTAAAAGAGAGAATGCGTTGTTCAACGAAAATCAGACTCCAGAGCGAACGGTGGATACGCTCGAGCGATGCCCGAATAAATTGTGTAAATCTTTTTCGTTCGCCGCGGAGAAATGGTAAAGTTCTTTTCTCATTGAATCGTATTTTGTACCACTGCCGAAGCGCATTTTGCGATATTGTCTTCCTCGACATATATTGGTCGATGGCATTGAATTGTGTTATACGTATTAGGCGATTAAGCGACGTCGGGCAGTTTTCGAGACGGTATATAAAATCTCATTGTATAAATTTTGCAAATGTTCTTTCTCTCACTTTACTACAAGTCCTGCTTATCTTCGTTTATTATTTAACGTATCTTAATAATTACGCTGTATATCAAGTTTATGTAATATCACTGTGCGTGATTTAAGGAGGCTTCTGCAGTGGATGGAATTTCTCAATTCTGCGGCCTGATCCACTTTCGATCACTTCGCCGATGCACTCGTTGGAAGAAACGTATAATGGCGAGATCCCAGAGTCGATGCATTTACAACAGTTAAGGTTTTTTCATTATTAAAAAATGTACAAAGTGTTCTTTTCCGTCTGTTTAATAGATTATCGCTATGTTGAGAATAAATAGTCGGCGGAGTCGATTAGATTACGTAATAATCTATAATAATTTTCACACTTACGGTTTTTTCTCTGAACGTCAAGGAGAACGCTTCCTACAGAAAGAACTGTCGTTGTAAGTTGATTTATTAAAATCAATCATCTTTTGAAGTCAATAGAGACGACGATATGTATGCGATATGTTGAATTTTCAATGATAATTATGATAATTCTATCATCAGAAAGATATGTTTATTATTTAAAGCAAATTTTTTTTATATAAAATAATTTACTACACTTTCGTTAAGTGTCAATAATATAATCCACGATGTTGAACCTTCTCGTTGAGTAAATTAAAAGGACTGATACAAGTATACGCGAAAGTTTCTAATTTTACATTTCTTTTTGTAGGAAGAAGTACAATAATGTAGTTTGAGTCACACACGTTCGATCGTGCAGGAAGCTGTAGTCTAAAATTATCACCACATAATATATTCTCTTAAGTGATTATATGTATATACATCGGCCCTGTAAAAGATACATCCGTGAATCCTGCAGGATCGAACACATTCGGATTTTCTGGCGATCGTATCAATTACATACATTTGAAAGATTGAACATGGGTATATAAAGAATTGAGATATTTTATAAAGTATTGATCGCTGAACCTCGAATCGAAAGGTCGCGATTGATATCACTCGATATATTCGTTTCGCTAACGCAGTGGCAGTAGTCCTTAAGATATTCTTAACCTTTATATATTAATTCATCAACGTCACGTCAATAATTAGACTTCGCATTTTCACAATTAATCAAGCGACAATCAAGCGAAATCGTGCAAAACATCCTTGATCCGTCGTTTATTTGTCGTTGTCAATTTACAGAACCTTGAATCTTGATCCAACTAATGAATTTTTAATTAGCGATCTGGATAATGTTTAAATAATGAAAACGAAAATATAAGAGAAACAGATAAAATCATTAATAGAAAATATGAAAATACAAAGATTAACGATATAAAGATTAAAAAATTAAAAAGGACATTTATTAATGGACTCATTCCATATTAATCTGACAATGAGATATAGTCTTTTTAACTGATTTCGCTTCTGATATAAATCATAAAATAAATTCCACGAAGGACACGTTACAAAAAAGGAATGAGAATCTTTTTCCATAATTGCTTAATTGTACACATTCATCGCTTATATGTTCTACTTTTAATTATCTTACAGATCACGAGCATGAGTTTTCTTAGCCTGCGCGAGGCTAGGTACCTAGAACAACGTATCGGGATTTACGCGACGTACAAGTTTTTGGACGTCACGGAATATCTCTCGTCGCGTTTCGCACAACTATTGTTTTCCTTTCGCTATATACGTACAGAACCATTCTAACAAGTATATAAGTCTTTCAGTATTTCATACTAACGACAGCCATTTACCTGGAAATGTATTTTACTGTTGGGATATGTGTATCAGGTCGAGTAGGGGGACAAAAGAGTCCAAAGAATAAATGATGACCTCATAAATTTGATCGTCAAAAGAAAGCATGTATACATAATATATATAGTTAAGCGGATTATATCAAACGTTTATAGTCTATATAGATTGTTTGGAGAGCCGATCGAATTTTTATGCATATCAAATGCAGCAGAAACATTTACCGGGTAAATCGCCCATCTCTATTCCATACTATAAACTTAACATCAGGTCACATGTACTCCTGTTTTCCCCATCTAGAATCACGATATATCCGACATATTACGGTTCTTGCCGAATGTCGAGCAACGGGGCACGAGAGAAGTTTTGTGTATCGATAGAGCTAACAACCCTAAAACGATTATGCGATACGACCGCCAATAGAATGCCGCGGTCTTATAGAATGATCTAATAATTTACATTGTCGATTAATCCTTCAACATTCTTTACACACTTTATATGAATTTATACTGCAACCTCTAATGGTATTGTCAAACATTTATGCACTTTGGCTAAGCGCATCTTAAGCTTAAGAGTAGTTTAAGAGAACTTAACGCAAACTTAACGCGCGGCTTAAGAGTACTCTTCGCGAAAAATGCTTCCCGTACGACGCAATGATTAATTTTACAGAACTGTTCCTCTTAACCCATTTCATAAATTTTTTTGTGCATTGATAAGCTCCTTGAAGCGACGTTCGTATAATTCTTTCTGCGCGCCGCTGTGGCGAGAGTTCAATTAAAAAGTTAACGAGAGAAATCGTCGTCCGAGTGAATTGGAGGGAAGGATATTGGTCGTGCAATTAAACGGTTGGATGAACGATAATTAGCCTGTCTTTACATTTGTCTTCTCGATAGGTTGAAAAATAAAACGGAGCAAAGGCTATAAGTAGTTTTGTTCGCGGAAACACATTGATTAATATTGTGATCGATTCGGTCGTATACGCTCGTAGATTTTGCTTTCCTAAAAACAACAACGCGCTTAATTGTCTTAAAAATGGTATATGTATACGTGTATATATAGATCTATTCTTTTTTTGTGGGAAAACAAATTTCTTTTTCGTTATGAACACGTTATGAAACACGTTATGAAACCGACATATAAAAAAGGCCCGAGAACAAATAACGTAATCTCACGAAAAAGTCGGCGAGACTCCGATCTAAAGGTCCACTTTTTTTCATTTCAAGGATCGGAGTTCAGAAATGACTACGTTATCGTCGGTGGAAATGTTACGTAGAACGCGCGATTTTCGAGCCCGATCCACGTATATCCCCGAACGTGACACGAGTGCCGTTACGGCGGGAATATCATAAGCTTGTTTGCTGACAGTATCAATTTCGGAACAGCGTATGTGCGATTTATCGAACGTGCTCCCCTCATATTGCCAGCACTAGTGACGTTCCATTTCGTATCGAATGCCACGGATCAAAATCATAATCTATCGATTTCGATTGCACGGACGTGGATACTCGATGTCGTGGGTACTCGGTATCATTATCGCTCGGACTATCCGTCAATCCGTAACTTCTGTAGATTGATATAAGAATAATGAGCAAAGAAAGAAAAGAGAAACGAGAAAAGAAGTTGCACGAGAGAACAAGCCGGAAGATCGAGTAGCTTTCACGTTAATTAAGCGTGTAACATAATAATCACAAATTTCCAATGATATGTCAATCAAATGATCTATACAAAATTTAATATCTCGCAGATTAAAAAATAGTGTGCTTATAAAATTAATAATCTATCGCTATCGTCAAGCATTGCGCATTCTTAGATTATGCGTATCTCGGTGAGACAGATGTCAATCCATTTGCAGCGATAACGTTCTGCAGTTTTGATTCGCGCAAAGAAATCATTAAAAAAGTAAATTTTGTATAGATAATGTCTTTGTAGTTTCCACACGGACGCTACGGCGACGGTGATTTGTGCGGTTCATACCAGTTATCGATTAAATTCACAGCGCTATTCACAACGATGTATGTCAACGGCCAAAAAAATGTGATATTAATGTCGTGAACCGTGGAAAGTTTCTTGGCGCGATCAGCTCGTAGATTCCTAACATCTTCGTAAGTGCCATCGTACAATATAGTTATCATCGACACTGTGAACGCATCCGACCATGCCGCACAAACAATTCATGCTCGTTTATAGCCGATTTACGGATCGTCATCCTAAGTACTAACTTGGTCTGACTTGGTCTAACTTGGTCGATGAAGGGCAGTTCCACCAATTGCCGTTTAACTCGCCGATCATAGAAAGCCGGATGAGGTTCCAGCCTTCCAGTTCTCTATATCAGGTGTCGTTCGACTCGCCGGGCTTGTAACCGAGATTTTTTCGTTGCAGGAACAGATGGATCTCGCGAAAGTTTGGTCGGTCGACGTCGTTTCTCTGCCAACACTCGCGCATCAGATCGTAGATCTCTTTAGGACAGTTCTTTGGCAGCGGTAGTATCATCTGTGTAAAAATAAGCGCAATTCGATTCTAGCGTCATCAATTATATACATCGCGAACTGAACATTTTATGTATAATACATAGAAAATGTGTTGATATATTTTCGCGTCGTGCCAAAATAAAAAGCAGATTGTTCTCGCGATCTAATTTTAACAATAATCTCATTATTTAACGCGGTATTATCGAAATAAACGGGTACGAATATAATAAAAATAGTTCGCGCTCGTAATTAATCGCAATATTTGTTTTCGCAATTAATCGTTCGTAAATATTAATGGTCTACAAAACCGAGAGAGCGGAATAACAATTCTTACAGTGCGCATGTTAGTTTCAAGAACCCTCTCGACGTTGGGAAAATGAGCGCGCGACGGGCGCTCGAGTACAACGCAATATTTATTACATTATATGAATTACTAAGCAAGTAGTTCTGCCATTTTCATGGAAACTCTCGCGACCTACTTTTGTAATTACATGTTCGACATGTGCGCGTTTATTAAACCTGCTTTTTCAACGACGTTAATTGTCCTACGGTCCTAGTCTCGAAGAAACAGCATAGTCCACAGACTACTCTTGAAAGAAGTTACGCAGAAAAAAAAGTGGAAAAAAAGGTGCAGTAAGAACCTACGGAGTAAGGTAATCAGAAGTCTGAAAGACGAAATAAATAGCGGCGTTCAAAGCCCTGAAAGCTTCGCGAGGCACTCAACGCGAAATCAAGTAACTGAGTACCTACGCTCATTATATTAAGTACGTCGGACACAATGAGGGAAAGAAGTCGAAGAATTACTCCCGTGCACTTACCCTTCGTTCATCCTCTTGATAAAAGAAAGTCGCGTTCTCCACTATTCGATGATCCGGAAACTCCTCAAAGGGCTGCTCGCGCGCGAACGTCAGAATTTCCCACAGCGTGACGGCAAACGCCCAGACGTCGCCCTTGCACGTGTGCCTTCCCTGTATAATGTAAACACATTCCCAAAAAGTTTATGAAAGTTCGCTCGCTATGTTCGTTAGCTCCGACAGCTTTTATTCGCAGCTTAAGAATACTTGGAATTTGTTGAGCATTCTGATATAATTGGATAAGTTTATTTTCACGGTGCAATACACTTGAAATGTATTATATCAAGTTGAATTATTCAAGAATAATTTTTCTTACACATCGCACTTGTGTACGTTTGTGTAAAAGTTGCTTATTAAGAAAATATAACACCCAAGTATATTTTTTTTAATACACACATTTAGGTTAATACTCGTTTTCGGTAAGCCGCAAAAATAATTAAAAGCGCGACTTGCTCGACGCGGAAACCTAATGTTTGAGCGTGAAGGAGTAATTTATGGAAACTGTATGCGCCTTCGAGTTTCCCAAAGTTCAACCGGGTAACTCAGTTAAGCCCAAGCTTCGCGGAACGCCATAAAGCAGTTACACGATTTTACTCTTTTCCTCACATTGACGTGGTTGGATGTACCTTCCGCTCCCGTTGGCATGCGTATGACCCGTCAAGCAAAATAATTGTACGATAAAATATTAACGGCAAGTTATATAAAAGCTTTAGTAGCTACAAGTTTTAATTAATATCAGCGTTGCGATTTATACAACCATAACGTTTTCTGAGGAAGAGTATAGAAAATTAATATATTCTATATATTTCTATATATAAAAAAATGAATGTATGTATGTATGTTTGTCCGCTATGCAAATGTACAGTTTTCAAATTAGAACAACCAAATTTGGTATACTATCTCATAATACTCTAACTTAGACCGTAGATGTATTTTGAAAACCGCATCATTACCGATTTTTTGGGAAACCGGTTCCAAAATTTTTCTAATGTCTGTCTGTCTGTTTGATCGCGAACTACTCATTCATTAATGGACCGATTTTCTGGAAACCGGTACCAAAATTTGTTTAATTTTTTGGGGATGGTGTCGATAAAGAATAAATTAATATGAGAAAATAAAAAAGGGGCCCTCATACAAAATTGTCTAAAAAAGGTCTCTTAAAAAAAAAATTTGGGGGTAAATATTACTATTCAGGAAAAAAAATATCGTTTACTGTCTAATAAATTAGCCCGTAGAGGGTTTTGGGAAGGGATCGGAATGAGGGGAAAAGGTCTGCTGGGAAAGAATATTTATTAGCATCAGTTACGTTTAGAATTTGATGATTAATTTAATTTGTGATATTATTATTCTACTCTCACAGTTTTCAAATTAGAACAACCAGTATATTATCTCATGATACTCTAACTTAGACCATAGAGGGTTTTGGGAAAGGGTCTGAGCCCAAGGATAAAGGGCCCCCATACAAAATTGTCTAAAAAAGTCCCTTAATAAAAAAAAATTTATTTGAGGGGTAAATATTACTATTCGGGGAAAAGAAAGAAGAGCTTTTGAGCCCGCGGGCGAAAAAGTTAGTATTAATTATAAAAAGAACTATATATTTAATGTTG